CGTGATGTTCAGCATTTTTCCATGTGCCTATTAACTCATACTGGAAGTACTCTTTCTAGTCTGGTTCTTTAAGTTGAAAAACTTTCAAGTTCTTACAATCATCAATAACATGTTCCATTTTCTTCTTGAATAGTACTCTCTCGGATTTATGCACCATTTGTATGTTGGTTTACCATTTGAATCACATTTGAGTTCTTGCCAGTTTGGGGCTATTATTAATAGAGCCACAGTAAACATTGGCATGAAGCGTTTTATGTGAAGAGAAATTCATGTTTTACGCGGGAGTTATTTTCGGAATGGGATTACTCATTTTTCCAGTGTGCAGATATTTATGAGCAATGAAAAACATTTCCCAAAATGTCTTTATCATTTTGCCTTCTGATGAGTCATTGAGGAGAGTTTCAGTTTCTCTCTTTTCCAGAGAGTTGTTTATGTTCTCAGTTATTTTATTTCTTTTATCCAAGATACAGTTTGCATACTTAATATGCATTCAGTACTAATTACTAATTATTTTAGTTAATTTTAGGTGTTTTTGAGTCACCTGTACAACGTATGTCCTATCTTATGTCAAGCAATTGCTATTCAAATATTTTCCCACATTTAATTGGATTATTTGTTCTCTTATTAGTGAGTTTCAGAGCTCTTATTTATTATGGTTATAATATACTTTGTATGAATATTGATGTGTATGTGTGGGTGTTTGTGTGTATGTAAAATATATGTGTATTTGCATAACCAGCTGAAGAGAGAAAATTATTCTGTAACCTTCAAGGAATTCCCTAATACCACAGTGTTATATTCTTTGTCCATAATCCCTTATGACTACTGATTTCTTTTCCATGTCTCTAATTTTGTCATTTTGAGAATAATATGTACGTGGAATCATAAAGTACATGTCGTTTTAAGATTGGCCTCTGTTTTACTTTGGCATGCACTTGAGATTCATCCAAGTTGTTACATGTATTAATATTTTCTTCCATTTTTTGATGAGAAATATTACTGGTATGGTTAACTGTGTTACAGGTATGGTGGTATGGTTATGTAACTTTGGTTAAACCACCGTTGAACCATTCACTCATTGAAGGAGCTCTAGCCTCTCTACATTTTTAGCTATTACAAGCAAAGTTTCAATGAAAATTCATGCAAAAGCTTTTATGTTCATTTCTCTAAAATCAACATGCACGAATAGAATTTCTGGGTCAAATGATACTTGCATGTTTATAGCATGTTGTATAATAAAGTGTCAAATTGTTTTTCAGGAGAGCTGTACCATTTTATACTCTCACAAGAAATGTATGAATAATCCAGTTTCTCTGCATCCTTGCCACCTTATTGTGTGGTCATGTTTTAACAATGTGTAGCCACTTTGACAGATAGAGAGCAGTTAGAACTCTTGATAGTTTCCTTGTGCATTTCCGTCATAGCCAATATGCTCAGCATCTTTGCCTGTGCTTCTTTGCCATTGCTGTGACTTCGTTGGCCAAGTTTTTGTTCAAGTCTTTCAATTATCTTGATCATTTTCTATTGAGTGTCTCTTTTCACCTGATGACTTTTAGATTTGTCAATAAGTGTTTTTCATTCCCAGTGAGTTTCCATGCAATTATATTTGTTGGAGTTTTGCACATGTCAAATTATTAATATTTTATGTTTATGCATTCTGACACAATGGATTTAGCCTAAATTTGAGGAACATTAGTTTCTGCATGGCTTTCTTCTAGAACTATAAGCTATTTTTACTTTTTCTATGTACGTTTGCTTTTCCATATATATGCCAATATATACATGTATAAGTTTCTCTGTGTAAGTCAGGATAGTATACATAGGCCACATCCTATATATAGGATACATCTATAGAAAGATTCTACCTGTTTTGCTCTTTGAGAAGGACCCTAGCTCTGAAAAATAATGTTAATAAAGAAATGCAGGGAAGTCGAGTATTGATTTATGGAATAGACAGGGTTTCTTGGTAAGACAGCCATTCAAAAGTCTATCAAGTACTGGAATGGTTGTACAGCTGAATGTAAGCATTTTTTTAATCTAAATCTTTTTCTAAAAAAAAATTAATGTTTCGGTATGGAGCTTCTATAAATAGGAAAGTATTATCACATATTAAATAAGAGCTTTGGGGAAATGTTCAATCAGAATATCATGAAATATACTGACAATGTTGGTGTAATTGCACGTTGGAGCAGACATTCATGAATAATGTATAGAACTGCAGTGTTTAGAAGGTTGGGGATGAGATTACGGAAAGGATCCATATCATTCTTAGTATTGATCTACATAGAAAACTAAATTGTTCATCAGTATTTGTATCAGTATAATTATAAATAAATTGATGTCTTCAGAAGAAAAAGTTCATGTCTACATTACATATCACAAACTAGAAATCTGTCTTCGATTTGAGCCATGCTAGCTTTTCGGAAATGAATAGTCTTTTAATGACAAATAGAATTGAGTACCAATAAGAAGGGAAAATATTTCATCCTTTGACTTGCTCCATCATGACTGAGGACAAATTCTGAACGTTCTATAGAGATCACAGAAGGAGAACAAATAATTACATAATTTGCATGGAAATTCCAAAAACTTTGGATAGCCAAAGCAATGTTGTGAAAGAAGCATGGAATTGGAGGAACCAAGCTGCCTGACTTCAGGCAATACTACAAAGTTACAGTCATCAAGACAATATGGAACCAGCAGAAAGACAGAAATACAGGTCAGGAACAAAATGGAAAGCCCAGAAATAAATCCACCCACCTATGGACACCTTGTCTTTGACAAAGCAGGCAAGAGTATACAATGGAGAAAAGACAATCTCTTTAACAAGTGCTACTGGGGAAACTGGTCAGCTACTTGGAAAGAATGAGACTAGAAGACTTTCTAACCCCATGTACAGGAATAAACTCAAAACGCATTAAAGATGTCAATGTAAGACCAGAAACTAGAAAACTCCTAGAGGAAAACATAGGCAAAACACTCTTTGACATAAGTCGCAGCAGGGTCCTCAAGGACCCACCTCCCAGAGGAATGGAAATAAAAGCAAAAAATAAACGAATAGGACCTAATGTAACTTAAAAGCTTTTGCACAACAAAGAAAGTATAAGCAAGATGAAAAGACAGGCTTCAGAATGGGAGAAAATCATAGCAAATGAAGCAATGGACAATGAATTAATCTCAGAAATATGCAAGCAGCCCCTGAAGCTCAATTCCAGGAAAATAAATGATCCATTCAAAAAACGGGCCAAAGAACTAAACAGACAGTTCTCCAAAAAGACATCCAGATGGCTAACAAACACATGAAAAGATGCTCAACATCACTCATTATCAAGGAAATGCAAATCAAATCCATGATGAAGGACCATCTCACGTTGGTCAGAACGGCTCCTATCAAAAAGTCTACAAAGAATAAGTGCTGAAGAGGAACAGTGTGGAGATTCCTCAGAAATTGGAAATGGAACTTCCCTACCACCCAGGAATCCCGCTGCTGGGCATACACACTAAGGAAACCAGAATTGAAAGAGACGCGTGTACCACAATATTCATCACAGTACTGTTTATACTAGCCAGGACATGGAAGCAACCTAGATGTCCAGGGGTGACGAATGGATAAGCATCCATGCTTCGTATGCACAGTGGAATATTACTCAGCTATTAAAAAGAATGCATTTGCATCAGTTCTAATGAGGTGGATGAAGCTGGAGCCTATTTTAGACTGAAGGAAGTTAGAAAGAAAAACACCAATCCAGTATATTAATGCATATAAATGGAATTTAGAAAAATGGTAACAATGACCCTATATGTGGGACAGCAAGAGAGACACAAAGGTAAAAACAGACTCTTGGACTCTGTGAGAGAAGGTGAGAGTGGGATGATTTGAGCAAATAGCATTGAAACATGTATGTGGAACTGATTTCCACTAGAGCTTGGATGCATGAGGCAGGGTGTTCTGGGCTTTTGCGGTGGGACGATCCTGAGGGATGGGATGGGGAGGGAGGCGGGAAGGGGGTTCAGGATGGGGAACACATGTACATCCATGGCTAGTTCATGACAATATACGGCAAAACCATTATAGTATTGTAAAGTATTAAGCCTCCAAATGAAATAAATCAATTAAAATGAAAGAACTTACAAAAAAGAAAAACAGGCAGCACACCCAGGGGTCTTTCACTCATACATTTTAAATCACATTCAGTGACTGACTTTGAATCAACAGTGGGGTCACCCAGGCATTAGAGTGCTAGAAAATGTGAATCAGGCAGCTGCAGTCCAGGTCAAAGATGACATATCATTGAGTTCCAATTTGCACACAACTCTTTGGATGCTGATAGTGAAATTCTGTGTTCTGCTTGCTTCTAAATAGTTTTCTGAAAACACACAGGATTCTCATCATCAGAACCTCTGCCTTATATATCTCCATATTTGTTTAAATTCTCCTTGAAATTTTTAAAATATTTCAACCTGAAAGTTAACACCAAATTTGATATTGCATTCTCTTTCTTTTAAACCATGATAAACTTCTAGAAGTTGGACTCACAAAAGACTTTATTTATCCATCATCAGTGCAGACTCCTAACCCACTCCACACCTCTACTCTCTGGCTAACTGGGGACCCGAGGGTCTGTTCCCCAACTTCTCAAGACCACATATCCCTCCCGTTTCCAGTGCCCACCTCTTCACTTCTTTCCCTCCCTTCCATCAGAAAATTCACACACACACAAATATCATCTTTTCACCATTTGAGATTTCTTTTATTGGCAGCCATCAGCTTACTATGTTAGTGTGAGAGTCTATTTTGGTTGGCCATTTCTAACAAAGCAGACTCTTGGAGACACAATTCTAAACTGTCTGAACTTTGCTATTCATTAACTGGCTGCCAACTTGTACTTGTCCAGGGTCTCTTATTTTTGGGCGGCTGAGCTTATTTTCTCTTTGGATTCTGCCTCCTTCCATGACTTTGCCTCATATTTTGGTACCTTTTTCGGCTTCTATTTGATTTCTTACGTCCACAGCCAGAGAAGAAACGGTTTGCTTTTCTTGTTTTCTTCGGCTTCATCGATTGAGTGGCATACGATCGGATTTTCTTTCTGAAGGTCCCTTGTAGAGGTCTTCTGACCCTCATGGTCATATTTCGTGCCTGGAAGACAAGACAAGGGTATCAGTTTGGAGGAAAGGACATAAAAACTGAGGTGGAAGGGAGATTTCATGAGAAAGAAATGTGAGCTAATGGGGACATTTGTGCCAGGCATGGGCAGGGTAGAGGTCTTGGGCAGCAAAGTCAATGCAGAACATGGGAAGCTTAGTTGGAGTCCTCTTACCTCCACACCACGTCTGCCCCTCCTTTGACAAAGGGTCTTCTTCATTCCATTCTTCCTTGAAGCAAACCGCATTGCAACTCTTCTTGACGGCCGTGGCTTCCTGGTTGCCTTAGTCATGATGGTGCCAAGAAGTGGCCTAACCCAGACTTTCAGCCTCTGACCTCCCTATTTATACCCTTTGAGGACAATGAAGAGCCACACCCTTCAATCTGATTGGTCTGTTAGGCACTGCCCCAGCCAATAGTAGCTTGTGGGGCTTAGACATCACAATGCACCACTGGGACCATCAACATGGGCTAGTGGATGCTGAGGGAGACCGTGATATAACTTTCCCACTGCTGACAGGTCTGTGTGCCTGACTCTGGGGAGTGGTGATTCAGGGGCATGGTGCTTCTCCTCATGACCTTCAAACTTCCTTTGCGTTCCCTTTATCCTTTGACTTATATGTGCCACTTCAACCCTCATGCCTCTTTCATCCCTCTAGGAACATCTGCCAAACCTTTTCTGTCCCACTTCATCCCTTCAGAGTCCTCTAAGCACTTCATCTCTAGATCACCTTCTGCCTCTTGGGGATTCCTGAGCGGCTTAAGGAACTTAAGAGAAAGCACTTAAAGTGGACAAAGGTAATGAAGAGCAGGTTGGATGTTTTATCTACTGTGGTGAGCTTCAGCGACCCCCAGACTTGGTGAATCCTCAGTCTGTTGCCCAAAGGTCAATATACAGTCTCCATCAGAGTACATATCAGAGCAAAGACAGTTTTAAATGTCTCCTCCACTAAATTTTTTGGGGACACTTCAACTCTCATACTGAGTAGGGAAACTCAACTTGCCCCATCTAGTAGAAAAAAATTCCTGACTTTTGCTTTGCACAAAAGGAAGGTGCTCAAAGTCAAGAATCCGTTCACCACTGCATCGCTGAGTCTTGACCAAATCAATTCCCCAGTCACCCCTCCTTGACCGTTCTCAGTAGGTAGGGCCCATTGCAGTGCTGACCAATAGCTGGGCAGGGCAAGTACCTGTAGGTAGCTCATTGATAGTTGGTTGCTTGTGGGTGGGGCCAGTGAGGCACTGACCAATGGCTGAGCAAGTCCTGTTGCCTAGTAACAGGAGGCGGAGTAATAAGGCACAGCAATGGCTACCTGGGCAAGGCTCTGCCCATGTTGCTCTGTTACATAAGAACACTTTGGGTCCAGTGTGCTGGCATCTTTTTGACTGACTCCTTTCCAACCTCAGATTTTTATTTCCCATGCTTATTTAACTTTTGCCCATCATTCTTTCCGTTCTCTTCCCAGGCATTCCTGTCACCAGCGCTTATCTCTATGCCCCTCCAACAGCTGCCACTTGATCACATGTTCCGCATATAGTATACATAGTTCAAAACCAACAAGAATGTGCAGGCCAGCCCACGTTGAAAACTACATTGAGAAACCTTAACTTCACAGTGATTCTTTTTCTATTTACAGTGTAACAGAGCAGGATGAGCAGAGCCCTGAAGAGGGAGCCTTTGGTGTGCTCCATTTCAACCCACCCTGTTCCTAGGCAACAGGTGTTGCTCAACCATTGCTTGGTGCCTCAGAGGGCCCCATCCACAAGCAAACAATTGTAAATGAGTGACTGTTAGCTGTCCTGCTTAGCTATTGGGCAGCACTGCAGTGGGCAATGCCCGCAGGTTACTGTCAGTGAGGGACCTTTGGGGAAGCAATGAATTCAAGGGTGGTGTGGTGGCACTCAGGGGGAGACTGAGGCAAGAGGCAGAGTCAGGCCTTCTTCCGGAGGCCCTGGAGCTCATGCCGACTTGGGCCAGTGGGTGAGCTGGAGGGTCCAGGGAATAGCCTGGGGACTACATGCTGTAGCGCTCTTTTGTTCCTCTTTGCTGTCTGCCTTCACGGTGGTGTCGCCTGCATATCTGAGGTGATTGATACTTCTCCCGGCAATCTTCCAGCTTGTGCTTCATCCAGTCTTGCATTTCTCATGATGTACTCTGCATATAAGTTAAATAAGCAGGATGGCAACATACAGCCTTAACATACCCCTTTCCCAATTTGGAACCAGTCTGATATTTCATGTCCGGTTCTAACTCACGCTGCTTTCCCTTCATTCAGAGTTCTCAGGAGGCAGGTAAGAGGGCCTGGTATTCCCATCTCTTGAAGGATTTCCCACAATTTGTTCTGATCCACACAAGACAATGCTTGAGCCTAGTCAGTGAAGCAGATGCTTTTCTGGAATTGTCTTGCTTTTTCTATGATCCAACAGATGCTGTCCATTTGAACTCTTGTTCCTCTGCCTTTTCATAGTCAAGCTTGAACATCTGGAAATTCTTGGTTCATGTATTGTAGAAGCCTAGCTTGAAGAATGCTCAGCGTATTTTAGGTAGTGTGTGAGATGACCCTATCTCCATAGTTATTTCAAATCAAGCTCCTTCTTACATTAGTCTGGATTTGTTTTAGTTAATTGCAAAAATGGACATAAATTCTTTGGAGTTATGCTTATTTCCCCCTTCACAGGTACTAATTCACTCCCTGTGTTATTTCAGGCATCGTTGTGAGTGCAAGGCACACATCATGAGCCAATACCTAGGACCCTGGTTTCATGGGGCTTACATTCTGGTCAGTGAGGATGGAAGGTTCATACTAACCACAAATAGTCAATTATACAGTATAGCGAGAACCTTATTAGTTATGAGAAACGGGGAGTCTTTCCTTCCCAGAGGATAATGATGGAAGGCCTTATGAATGCAGGACATTTAAGCAAAGACTTAGTTAAAGAAAAGAGGGGATGACTTTGTGGCTATCATGGGTAATAAAGACTGGGGAGAGGAAAAGGCCAGAGCAAAAGCCCCCAAAAGTCATTATCTATGTTCTTCCAAGAAAACAAGGAGACTGGTGCAAGTGGGACCAGGTGAGTGAGGATGAGACTAGAAAGTGATGAGCTGCTCATGAGAGAGAACAGGGCAGGAAAAGGAGGAATGTAATGGTAAACTTATCTTTCCACTTACATGATGAATTGATTCACCGGACACAAACCACACTGGGCTGTGGTGGTAAAAGGGAGAGGCATTTGTCATAGTCTGAAGGCAAGGAAGTGGGAGAGGAGTACTTTTCAGTAAAGACACCCGAGATGAATCCTGAGCCAGCTAAAGTAGACAGATCAAGTGGAAAGCTGTGAAAATGTTTCCCAGAAAGTGAGGGAGAACGTACCAAGGTACCGAGACCCAAGAGACCTGGCTATACATGCCTTGCATATGACTGGAATCTAAGGTATGATGGGGAAATTGTGAAGAAACATGGCTTTGAAGGAAGAGGGAAGAACTTGAAGCGACACTTGGGTATATGTTAAGTTAATGTCTGGGTTACCATGCTTTGAAAGAGCATTATTAGTATTTTCTAATTGTAAATATACACTCGAGGCAAACCAGTGTGGAAATTGCAAAACGGAGTACAAAAATGAAATTAGAGGACACCCATAAGTGTGTCAATAGACATATATACTGTACATATTCTGCCTTTGTTGTTCTACCTAAACCTTTATAACATATATATTTTATGTGTTATATACTATGAAATATATACATATAATACACAGATATTTAGATGAGCCTATGTACATCAGTGTTTTTTTTTTTAATTTATACAAATTGAATCAATCTTTATGCTATATTGTAACCTTCCTTTTCTATAACTTATGCTGGGAGAATGTTTCCACCTCAACAAACATGTAACTACCAGTATTTCTGCGGATTACTATGGTGTTCAAATGCTTGCTTATCCCATACTCCATGCAAGTGCTATGAATACAGGAACCATGTGCATCTTGCTCACTGGTTGCTTCCATATCTCTTCTATTGTAAGGAAGGATGTAATAAACTTTGGGGTACATGTATCTCTTAAAATTTGTGTTCATTTTCTTTTGATGTAGAGCTAGGTGTGGAATAGCTGGGCCACATGGGAGATCTATTTTAATGTTTTTAAGAAACTTCAACATTGTTTTCCATGGTGAGTGCACAAGTTTACATTCCCACCAGTTATGTACAAGGGTTTCCTTGAGTCCATATCCTTGCCACCATATGTTACTTTCAGATTATGGCTTGATGATAGCCATTCTGACAGCTGTGAGGTGATATCTCCCAGTGATTTTCATTTCTCTTTCTCTAATTATTCGTGATGTTCAGCATTTTTCCATGTGCCTATTAACTCATACTGGAAGTACTCTTTCTAGTCTGGTTCTTTAAGTTGAAAAACTTTCAAGTTCTTACAATCATCAATAACATGTTCCATTTTCTTCTTGAATAGTACTCTCTCGGATTTATGCACCATTTGTATATTGGTTTACCATTTGAATCACATTTGAGTTCTTGCCAGTTTGGGGCTATTATTAATAGAGCCACAGTAAACATTGGCATGAAGCGTTTTATGTGAAGAGAAATTCATGTTTTACGCGGGAGTTATTTTCGGAATGGGATTACTCATTTTTCCAGTGTGCAGATATTTATGAGCAATGAAAAACATTTCCCAAAATGTCTTTATCATTTTGCCTTCTGATGAGTCATTGAGGAGAGTTTCAGTTTCTCTCTTTTCCAGAGAGTTGTTTATGTTCTCAGTTATTTTATTTCTTTTATCCAGGATACAGTTTGCATACTTAATATGCATTCAGTACTAATTACTAATTATTTTAGTTAATTTTAGGTGTTTTTGAGTCACCTGAACAACGTATGTCCTATCTTATATCAAGCAATTGCTATTCAAATATTTTCCCACATTTAATTGGATTATTTGTTCTCTTATTAGTGAGTTTCAGAGCTCTTATTTATTATGGTTATAATATACTTTGTATGAATATTGATGTGTATGTGTGGGTGTTTGTGTGTATGTAAAATATATGTGTATTTGCATAACCAGCTGAAGAGAGAAAACTATTCTGTAACCTTCAAGGAATTCCCTAATACCACAGTGTTATATTCTTTGTCCATAATCCCTTATGACTACTGATTTCTTTTCCATGTCTCTAATTTTGTCATTTTGAGAATAATATGTACCTGGAATCATAAAGTACATGTCGTTTTAAGATTGGCCTCTGTTTTACTTTGGCATGCACTTGAGATTCATCCAAGTTGTTACATGTATTAATATTTTCTTCCATTTTTTGATGAGAAATATTACTGATATGTTAACTGTGTTACAGGTATGGTGGTATGGTTATGTAACTTTGGTTAAACCACCGTTGAACCATTCACTCATTGAAGGACCTGTAGCCTCTCTACATTTTTAGCTATTACAAGCAAAGTTTCAATGAAAATTCATGCAAAAGCTTTTATGTTCATTTCTCTAAAATCAACATGCACGAATAGAATTTCTGGGTCAAATGATACTTGCATGTTTATAGCATGTTGTATAATAAAGTGTCAAATTGTTTTTCAGGAGAGCTGTACCATTTTATACTCTCACAAGAAATGTATGAATAATCCAGTTTCTCTGCATCCTTGCCACCTTATTGTGTGGTCATGTTTTAACAATGTGTAGCCACTTTGACAGATAGAGAGCAGTTAGAACTCTTGATAGTTTCCTTGTGCATTTCCGTCATAGCCAATATGCTCAGCATCTTTGCCTGTGCTTCTTTGCCATTGCTGTGACTTCGTTGGCCAAGTTTTTGTTCAAGTCTTTCAATTATCTTGATCATTTTCTATTGAGTGTCTCTTTTCACCTGATGACTTTTAGATTTGTCAATAAGTGTTTTTCATTCCCAGTGAGTTTCCATGCAATTATATTTGTTGGAGTTTTGCACATGTCAAATTATTAATATTTTATGTTTATGCATTCTGACACAATGGATTTAGCCTAAATTTGAGGAACATTAGTTTCTGCATGGCTTTCTTCTAGAACTATAAGCTATTTTTACTTTTTCTATGTACGTTTGCTTTTCCATATATATGCCAATATATACATGTATAAGTTTCTCTGTGTAAGTCAGGATAGTATACATAGGCCACATCCTATATATAGGATACATCGATAGAAAGATTCTACTTGTTTTGCTCTTTGAGAAGGACCCTAGCTCTGAAAAATAATGTTAATAAAGAAATGCAGGGAAGTCGAGTATTGATTTATGGAATAGACAGGGTTTCTTGGTAAGACAGCCATTCAAAAGTCTATCAAGTACTGGAATGGTTGTACAGCTGAATGTAAGCATTTTTTTAATCTAAATCTTTTTCTAAAAAAAAATTAATGTTTCGGTATGGAGCTTCTATAAATAGGAAAGTATTATCACATATTAAATAAGAGCTTTGGGGAAATGTTCAATCAGAATATCATGAAATATACTGACAATGTTGGTGTAATTGCACGTTGGAGCAGACATTCATGAATAATGTATAGAACTGCAGTGTTTAGAAGGTTGGGGATGAGATTACAGAAAGGATCCATATCATTCTTAGTATTGATCTACCTAGAAAACTAAATTGTTCATCAGTATTTGTATCAGTATAATTATAAATAAATTGATGTCTTCAGAAGAAAAAGTTCATGTCTACATTACATATCACAAACTAGAAATCTGTCTTCGATTTGAGCCATGCTAGCTTTTCGGAAATGAATAGTCTTTTAACGTCAAATAGAATTGAGGACCAGTAAGAAGGGAAAATATTTCATCCTTTGACTTGCTCCATCATGACTGAGGACAAATTCTGAACGTTCTATAGAGATCACAGAAGGAGAACAAATAATTACATAATTTGCATGGAAATTCCAAAAACTTTGGATAGCCAAAGCAATGTTGTGAAAGAAGCATGGAATTGGAGGAACCAAGCTGCCTGACTTCAGGCAATACTACAAAGTTACAGTCATCAAGACAATATGGAACCAGCAGAAAGACAGAAATACAGGTCAGGAACAAAATGGAAAGCCCAGAAATAAATCCACCCACCTATGGACACCTTGTCTTTGACGAAGCAGGCAAGAGTATACAATGGAGAAAAGACAATCTCTTTAACAAGTGCTACTGGGGAAACTGGTCAGCTACTTGGAAAGAATGAGATTAGAAGACTTTCTAACCCCATGTACAGGAATAAACTCAAAACGCATTAAAGATGTCAATGTAAGACCAGAAACTAGAAAACTCCTAGAGGGAAACATAGGCAAAACACTCTTTGACATAAATCGCAGCAGGGTCCTCAAGGACCCACCTCCCAGAGGAATGGAAATAAAAGCAAAAAATAAACGAATAGGACCTAATGTAACTTAAAAGCTTTTGCACAACAAAGAAAGTATAAGCAAGATGAAAAGACAGGCTTCAGAATGGGAGAAAATCGTAGCAAATGAAGCAATGGACAATGAATTAATCTCAGAAATATGCAAGAAGCCCCTGAAGCTCAATTCCAGGAAAATAAATGATCCATTCAAAAAACGGGCCAAAGAACTAAACAGACAGTTCTCCAAAAAGACATCCAGATGGCTAACAAACACATGAAAAGATGCTCAACATCACTCATTATCAAGGAAATGCAAATCAAATCCACGATGAAGGACCATCTCACGTTGGTCAGAACGGCTCCTATCAAAAAGTCTACAAAGAATATGTGCTGAAGAGGAACAGTGTGGAGATTCCTCAGAAATTGGAAATGGAACTTCCCTACCACCCAGGAATCCCGCTGCTGGGCATACACACTAAGGAAACCGGAATTGAAAGAGACGCGTGTACCACAATATTCATCACAGTACTGTTTATACTAGCCAGGACATGGAAGCAACCTAGATGTCCAGGGGTGACGAATGGATAAGCATCCATGCTTCGTATGCACAGTGGAATATTACTCAGCTATTAAAAAGAATGCATTTGCATCAGTTCTAATGAGGTGGATGAAGCTGGAGCCTATTTTAGACTGAAGGAAGTTAGAAAGAAAAACACCAATCCAGTATATTAATGCATATAAATGGAATTTAGAAAAATGGTAACAATGACCCTATATGTGGGACAGCAAGAGAGACACAAAGGTAAAAACAGACTCTTGGACCCTGTGAGAGAAGGTGAGAGTGGGATGATTTGAGCAAATAGCATTGAAACATGTATGTGGAACTGATTTCCACTAGAGCTTGGATGCATGAGGCAGGGTGTTCTGGGCTTTTGCGGTGGGACGATCCTGAGGGATGGGATGGGGAGGGAGGCGGGAAGGGGGTTCAGGATGGGGAACACATGTACATCCATGGCTAGTTCATGACAATATACGGCAAAACCATTATAATATTGTAAAGTATTAAGCCTCCAAATGAAATAAATCAATTAAAATGAAAGAACTTACAAAAAAGAAAAACAGGCAGCACACCCAGGGGTCTTTCACTCATACATTTTAAATCACATTCAGTGACTGACTTTGAATCAACAGTGGGGTCACCCAGGCATTAGAGTGCCAGAAAATGTGAATCAGGCAGCTGCAGTCCAGGTCAAAGATGACATATCATTGAGTTCCAATTTGCACACAACTCTTTGGATGCTGATAGTGAAATTCTGTGTTCTGCTTGCTTCTAAATAGTTTTCTGAAAACACACAGGATTCTCATCATCAGAACCTCTGCCTTATATATCTCCATATTTGTTTAAATTCTCCTTGAAATTTTTAAAATATTTCAACCTGAAAGTTAACACCAAATTTGATATTGCATTCTCTTTCTTTTAAACCATGATAAACTTCTAGAAGTTGGACTCACAAAAGACTTTATTTATCCATCATCAGTGCAGACTCCTAACCCACTCCACACCTCTACTCTCTGGCTAACTGGGGACCCGAGGGTCTGTTCCCCAACTTCTCAAGACCACATATCCCTCCCGTTTCCAGTGCCCACCTCTTCACTTCTTTCCCTCCCTTCCATCAGAAAATTCACACACACACAAATATCATCTTTTCACCATTTGAGATTTCTTTTATTGGCAGCCATCAGCTTACTATGTTAGTGTGAGAGTCTATTTTGGTTGGCCATTTCTAACAAAGCAGACCCTTGGAGACACAATTCTAAACTGTCTGAACTTTGCTATTCATTAACTGGCTGCCAACTTGTACTTCTCCAGGGTCTCTTATTTTGGGGCGGCTGAGCTTATTTTCTCTTTGGATTCTGCCTCCTTCCATGACTTTGCCTCATATTTTGGTACCTTTTTCGGCTTCGATTTGATTTCTTACGTCCACAGCCAGAGAAGAAACGGTTTGCTTTTCTTGTTTTCTTCGGCTTCATCGATTGAGTGGCATACGATCGGATTTTCTTTCTGAAGGTCCCTTGTAGAGGTCTTCTGACCCTCATGGTCATATTTCGTGCCTGGAAGACAAGACAAGGGTATCAGTGTGGAGGAAAGGACATAAAAACTGAGGTGGAAGGGAGATTTCATGAGAAAGAAATGTGAGCTAATGGGGACATTTGTGCCAGGCATGGGCAGGGTAGAGGTCTTGGGCAGCAAAGTCAATGCAGAACATGGGAAGCTTAGTTGGAGTCCTCTTACCTCCACACCACGTCTGCCCCTCCTTTGACAAAGGGTCTTCTTCATTCCATTCTTCCTTGAAGCAAACCGCATTGCAACTCTTCTTGACGGCCGTGGCTTCCTGGTTGCCTTAGTCATGATGGTGCCAAGAAGTGGCCTAACCCAGACTTTCAGCCTCTGACCTCCCTATTTATACCCTTTGAGGACAATGAAGAGCCACACCCTTCAATCTGATTGGTCTGTTAGGCACTGCCCCAGCCAATAGTAGCTTGTGGGGCTTAGACATCACAATGCACCACTGGGACCATCAACATGGGCTAGTGGATGCTGAGGGAGACCGTGATATAACTTTCCCACTGCTGACAGGTCTGTGTGCCTGACTCTGGGGAGTGGTGATTCAGGGGCATGGTGCTTCTCCTCATGACCTTCAAACTTCCTTTGCGTTCCCTTTATCCTTTGACTTATATGTGCCACTTCAACCCTCATGCCTCTTTCATCCCTCTAGGAACATCTGCCAAACCTTTTCTGTCCCACTTCATCCCTTCAGAGTCCTCTAAGCACTTCATCTCTAGATCACCTTCTGCCTCTTGGGGATTCCTGAGCGGCTTAAGGAACTTAAGAGAAAGCACTTAAAGTGGACAAAGGTAATGAAGAGCAGGTTGGATGTTTTATCTACTGTGGTGAGCTTCAGCGACCCCCAGACTTGGTGAATCCTCAGTCTGTTGCCCAAAGGTCAATATACAGTCTCCATCAGAGTACATATCAGAGCAAAGACAGTTTTAAATGTCTCCTCCACTAAATTTTTTGGGGACACTTCAACTCTCATACTGAGTAGGGAAACTCAACTTGCCCCATCTAGTAGAAAAAAATTCCTGACTTTTGCTTTGTACAAAAGGAAGATGCTCAAAGTCAAGAATCCGTTCACCACTGCATCGCTGAGTCTTGACCAAATCAATTCCCCAGTCACCCCTCCTTGACCGTTCTCAGTAGGTAGGGCCCATTGCAGTGCTGACCAATAGCTGGGCAGGGCAAGTACCTGTAGGTAGCTCATTGATAGTTGGTTGCTTGTGGGTGGGGCCAGTGAGGCACTGACCAATGCCTGAGCAAGTCCTGTTGCCTAGTAACAGGAGGCGGAGTAATAAGGCACAGCAATGGCTACCTGGGCAAGGCTCTGCCCATGTTGCTCTGTTACATAAGAACACTTTGGGTCCAGTGTGCTGGCATCTTTTTGACTGACTCCTTTCCAACCTCAGATTTTTATTTCCCATGCTTATTTAACTTTTGCCCATCATTCTTTCCGTTCTCTTCCCAGGCATTCCTGTCACCAGCGCTTATCTCTATGCCCCTCCAACAGCTGCCACTTGATCACATGTTCCGCATATAGTATACATAGTTCAAAACCAACAAGAATGTGCAGGCCAGCCCACGTTGAAAACTACATTGAGAAACCTTAACTTCACAGTGATTCTTTTTCTATTTACAGTGTAACAGAGCAGGATGAGCACAGCCCTGAAGAGGGAGCCTTTGGTGTGCTCCATTTCAACCCACCCTGTTCCTAGGCAACAGGTGTTGCTCAACCATTGCTTGGTGCCTCAGAGGGCCCCATCCACAAGCAAACAATTGTAAATGAGTGACTGTTAGCTGTCCTGCTTAGCTATTGGGCAGCACTGCAGTGGGCAATGCCCGCAGGTTACTGTCAGTGAGGGGCCTTTGGGGAAGCAATTAAGTCAAGGGTGGTGTGGTGGCACTCAGGGGGAGACTGAGGCAAGAGGCAGAGTCAGGCCTTCTTCCGGAGGCCCTGGAGCTCATGCCGACTTGGGCCAGTGGGTGAGCTGGAGGGTCCAGGGAATAGCCTGGGGACTACATGCTGTAGCGCTCTTTTGTTCCTCTTTGCTGTCTGCCTTCACGGTGGTGTCGCCTGCATATCTGAGGTGATTGATACTTCTCCCGGCAATCTTCCAGCTTGTGCTTCATCCAGTCTTGCATTTCTCATGATGTACTCTGCATATAAGTTAAATAAGCAGGATGGCAACATACAGCCTTAACATACCCCTTTCCCAATTTGGAACCAGTCTGATATTTCATGTCCGGTTCTAACTCACGTTGCTTTCCCTTCATTCAGAGTTCTCAGGAGGCAGGTAAGAGGGCCTGGTATTCCCATCTCTTGAAGGATTTCCCACAATTTGTTCTGATCCACACAAGACAATGCTTGAGCCTAGTCAGTGAAGCAGATGCTTTTCTGGAATTGTCTTGCTTTTTCTATGATCCAACAGATGCTGTCCATTTGAACTCTTGTTCCTCTGCCTTTTCATAGTCAAGCTTGAACATCTGGAAATTCTTGGTTCATGTATTGTAGAAGCCTAGCTTGAAGAATGCTCAGCGTATTTTAGGTAGTGTGTGAGATGACCCTATCTCCATAGTTATTTCAAATCAAGCTCCTTCTTACATTAGTCTGGATTTGTTTTATTTAATTGCAAAAATGGACATAAATTCTTTGGAGTTATGCTTATTTCCCCCTTCACAGGTACTAATTCACTCCCTGTGTTATTTCAGGCATCGTTGTGAGTGCAAGGCACACATCATGAGCCAATACCTAGGACCCTGGTTTCATGGGGCTTACATTCTGGTCAGTGAGGATGGAAGGTTCATACTAACCACAAATAGTCAATTATACAGTATAGCGAGAACCTTATTAGTTATGAGAAACGGGGAGTCTTTCCTTCCCAGAGGATAATGATGGAAGGCCTTATGAATGCAGGACATTTAAGCAAAGACTTAGTTAAAGAAAAGAGGGGATGACTTTGTGGCTATCTTGGGTAATAAAAACTGGGGAGAGGAAAAGGCCAGAGCAAAAGCCCCCAAAAGTCATTATCTATGTTCTTCCAAGAAAACAAGGAGACTGGTGCAAGTGGGACCAGGTGAGTGAGGATGAGACTAGAAAGTGATGAGCTGCTCATGAGAGAGAACAGGGCAGGAAAAGGAGGAATGTAATGGTAAACTTATCTTTCCATTTACATGATGAATTGATTCACCGGACACAAACCACACTGGGCTGTGGTGGTAAAAGGGAGAGGCATTTGTCATAGTCTGATGGCAAGGAAGTGGGAGAGGAGTACTTTTCAGTAAAGACACCCGAGATGAATCCTGAGCCAGCTAAAGTAGACAGATCAAGTGGAAAGCTGTGAAAATGTTTCCCAGAAAGTGAGGGAGAACGTACCAAGGTACCGAGACCCAAGAGACCTGGCTATACATGCCTTGCATATGACTGGAATCTAAGGTATGATGGGGAAATTGTGAAGAAACATGGCTTTGAAGGAAGAGGGAAGAACTTGAAGCGACACTTGGGTATATGTTAAGTTAATGTCTGGGTTACCATGCTTTGAAAGAGCATTATTAGTATTTTCTAATTGTAAATATACACTCGAGGCAAACCAGTGTGGAAATTGCAAAACGGAGTACAAAAATGAAATTAGAGGACACCCATAAGTGTGTCAATAGACATATATACTGTTCATATTCTGCCTTTGTTGTTCTACCTAAACCTTTATAACATATATATTATATGTGTTATATACTATGAAATATATACATATAATACACAGATATTTAGATGAGCCTATGTACATCAGTGTTTTTTTTTTTAATTTATACAAATTGAATCAATCTTTATGCTATATTGTAACCTTCCTTTTCTATAACATATGCTGGGAGAATGTTTCCACCTCAACAAACATGTAACTACCAGTATTTCTGCGGATTACTATGGTGTTCAAATGCTTGCTTATCCCATACTCCATGCAAGTGCTATGAATACAGGAACCATGTGCATCTTGCTCACTGGTTGCTTCCATATCTCTTCTATTGTAAGGAAGGATGTAATAAACTTTGGGGTACATGTATCTCTTAAAATTTGTGTTCATTTTCTTTTGATGTAGAGCTAGGTGTGGAATAGCTGGGCCACATGGGAGATCTATTTTAATGTTTTTAAGAAACTTCAACATTGTTTTCCATGGTGAGTGCACAAGTTTACATTCCCACCAGTTATGTACAAGGGTTTCCTTGAGTCCATATCCTTGCCACCATATGTTACTTTCAGATTATGGCTTGATGATAGCCATTCTGACAGCTGTGAGGTGATATCTCCCAGTGATTTTCATTTCTCTTTCTCTAATTATTCGTGATGTTCAGCATTTTTCCATGTGCCTATTAACTCATACTGGAAGTATTCTTTCTAGTCTGGTTCTTTAAGTTGAAAAACTTTCAAGTTCTTACAATCATCAATAACATGTTCCATTTTCTTCTTGAATAGTACTCTCTCGGATTTATGCACCATTTGTATGTTGGTTTACCATTTGAATCACATTTGAGTTCTTGCCAGTTTGGGGCTATTATTAATAGAGCCACAGTAAACATTGGCATGAAGCGTTTTATGTGAAGAGAAATTCATGTTTTACGCGGGAGTTATTTTCGGAATGGGATTACTCATTTTTCCAGTGTGCAGATATTTATGAGCAATGAAAAACATTTCCCAAAATGTCTTTATCATTTTGCCTTCTGATGAGTCATTGAGGAGAGTTTCAGTTTCTCTCTTTTCCAGAGAGCTGTTTATGTTCTCAGTTATTTTATTTCTTTTATCCAAGATACAGTTTGCATACTTAATATGCATTCAGTACTAATTACTAATTATTTTAGTTAATTTTAGGTGTTTTTGAGTCACCTGTACAACGTATGTCCTATCTTATGTCAAGCAATTGCTATTCAAATATTTTCCCACATTTAATTGGATTATTTGTTCTCTTATTAGTGAGTTTCAGAGCTCTTATTTATTATGGTTATAATATACTTTGTATGAATATTGATGTGTATGTGTGGGTGTTTGTGTGTATGTAAAATATATGTGTATTTGCATAACCAGCTGAAGAGAGAAAACTATTCTGTAACCTTCAAGGAATTCCCTAATACCACAGTGTTATATTCTTTGTCCATAATCCCTTATGACTACTGATTTCTTTTCCATGTCTCTAATTTTGTCATTTTGAGAATAATATGTACGTGGAATCATAAAGTACATGTCGTTTTAAGATTGGCCTCTG